ACCCAAGGTCTATGTGTCTGGGGAGGTCATTCAAACAGTTACACATTTTAAATATCTAGGTATTATCCTTGACACTACTCTGTCCTTCAAAAACCAGGTGAGCAAGGTAATGCAAATAACCAAATACAATCTAGCCTGTTTGACAACAACTGTAGCAAAGCTCTACATGAATGCTATGATCATTCCCCACTTAACATATTGTATGACGAGCTGGACCCAGGTGAATAGCACAACATTAAGGCCTATCTTATCACTTCACAAACAAGCGCTTAAAGTTTTGGACAGAAAACCCAAGCTTTACCACCACTGTTACATCCTTGACAAATATAACTTGCTCAGCTGGGAAAATATTTTAAAACACACTGACGCATGCCTAATTTTTAAGCTTATCAATGGAACCACAAGGTCACCCCTAAGAGGGGACTGTGTAGTCCCTCTTAGGTCCAGCTCCTTTGGTCAATTATGTTTCTCTGTGAGAGCCTCTAAATTATGGAACCAATTGCCAGTGGAGATTAAAAATTGCACCTCCCACCATACATTTACCCACCCCAAGAACTGGCTTTTAAGCAATCAAAAATGTGAACACCTTTTATAGTATTTAATCTGAGTGCATGTTTGTCTGTTGCTATGTATTGTTGTAGCTGTGCTGTCTAACCCATGGTGGTTTGTATGAATGGTTGTATGGTTATATGTTTTAATGGAACCAGTATATTGGCATCATGTTATGCTGTTGTTATCTGTTGCTGTGTGTATTCTTTAACAAGTTTTTTTTTATTTTTTAGCCATCCTGTGCCTAGCTTAACATCTTACCAAAGGACTACAGTTGAAAATTAACCTGCTGGCTAACACTGGCACATTTACAGAAATGTTGATTAATGTACACTGTCCTTTAATAAATAAATGAAATGAAACCAACAACCTGGTGAGTGAAAATAAGTGAGTGCCAGTGCCTTGTAAAGCCACCTCCTTCCCCAGCCTCCGGTCTGTTGGGGTAAAAACAACGCACTGCGCGGCCCTGCGCGGCACTGCGCGGGCAGTTGGGACACTCCATAGAAAACAATAGAATAATGGTGCGATCCCACTGCATACAACAAGTTACGAAATTTCACGCAAACCTTGCTTGTCACCTAGTCTCCCTGCTGCTTGTAGGCGTGAACCATGGCGCAAACGTATACTCCATGGCCTCACAGACAGCTGTCAATCACAGCAACGCATGCAAAGTTCAAACTTACTTTTTCTTTAGGCCAAATGCGTCAGGTTCAGAATTACATTACAAATATCTCGTACCAAATGCTTTCAGAATGAGGTTTCAGTGCATTGTTTATGTATGAAACATCCAGAATATCCAATCAAACGGTGGATGGCGCAGCTCACATTGTACTCATTAGAATTAGTGCTGGGTATTGTCCACAACCTCACAATTCAATTCAATTTAAATTATTTGGGTTACGATTCGATTTGATACTGATTCGATTCAATATTGACCAATATTCTTCTATATCAATTTAATAATACGCATAGATGACAGAAATACCCAGATAATTAATCACAGTACCTTTCCTATATTTTTTAAATAATGTGTGCATTATTTGTATTGGTTTAGAACAAATTGACTCAGAAATGTATTTAATCTTTTCATTATTCTTTAATAAACAAAAAAAACCATTGAAGTACAGTATGCGGAAGTATGGCGGCAGGCGTCATTACAACAGAAATAATCGATCTCAGGATTTCCCTGAACCGATATTATTAAAAATAATTGCAATCGACGCATTGATTAATCAATATTTGTAACCAGCCCTAATTAGAATATTGTTCACTGAAGTTCAAATTTTGTCCCACCCCTTTCTCGCGTCTTGTGCCTTGGCCTGCTCACCAAGCATTCCATAATCCTTTGCCCATGTCCAATACAAAGTGAATAGGGTGTGAGAATTATTGCATATAGTGGGTCTGGGTCGCCAGTCTAATTTTTCAACCAACTGTCCTGAGGTATCTCTGGAGGCTTATGAGGTTGGCATGGTAGAGGAAGACTATACCCAAAGTGTGGTGTAGAGAAGGTGGCAGAGAACATCAGCCAATTTCGATCGATCTCCCTACTGAATTTCGAGGGTAAAGTCTTCTTCAGTATTTTTGCTCAGAGGTTGTGGGAGTATCTGCAAAGAAACAAGTACATTGATACATCTTTGCAGAAGGCAGGAGTATACAGGTTCTCTGGGTGCTTCAAACATTCCAGCATGATCTGGCACCAGATCCAATCTGCAAAGGCGGAGAAAAGGGACCTTCATTTAGTCTTTCTTGACCTTGCCAAAGCCTTTGGATCAGTGTTTTTGTTTGCCATCTGAGTTTACCACCTCTTCGCAACTCCTGGAAGTGGGCATTATGGCAGGATGCACCATCTCACCCCTCACTTTCCCAATGGCAATGGAGGTTATCATCCATGCCTCAAAGTGGGTGGTTGGTGGACAACGCCTCACCTCGGACCTGCGTCTCTCTCTCCTCTCAGAGCTTTTATGGATGAAATTACTACTCTGACTTCCACCGCCCCGTGATATCAGCTGGGCTCGCATGAAGCTAAATGCACATCTAAATCACGCAGCATTTCCACTGTCAAGGGAGTACTGTCTAATATTAGATTCTTCATTGGGGATGACCCAATCCCAAGAGTATCTGAGAAGCATGTCAAAAGTCTGGGAAGGTGGTATGATGCATGCCTGAAAGACAAAGACCAGATACAACAAATGCAGAAGGCAGTCTCCCTTGGCCAACAAGGACAGTGGACATGATGGGACAGTTTAGAGAGGAGGAAGATCAGCTTTGGGGCAGAGGCAAGCCGACTAAGCTTTATCATTAGAGCTACGTCTGACGTCTTCCCAACACCGGTTAATCTTCAGCAGTGGGTGGGTGAAAATCCAGGCTGCTTCCTCTGCTCCAGGCAACCTCCCTCAAACACATACTTACAGTGTGTAAAGACAGCCTCACCCAGGGATTTTACACCTGGCATCACAATAATGTCCTTAAATGCCTCACCTCCACCCTGGAAAGCAAATGAGTAGCCACCAACTCCGCACCACCACCACCACCATCAGCAACCAACACCCCGCAAACTACCATCTTCATCCGTGAGGGGGCCAAAGCAACCAAGAGCAGACCCACTCCTCTGGAAAGAGGCCAGCTTCGCTTAGCCCATGACTGGATGATGCTAGTTGATGTTGGTTGGCAGCTCGTATTTCCCAACCACCTCCCTGAGGTCTGACTTGGTACTCTTGTCTCCTTCTCTTAGAAAGGCCTTCATTGTTGAACTAATGGTACCCTGGGAGGTCTCAGTGGACGAGGCATATGAGCGGAAGCAGCTGCGTTGTGCCGAGTTAGCAGCAGAAGCACAACTCTGTGGCTGGAACACCGAAGTTTGTTCTGTGGAAGTGGGGTGCAGGGGGTTCGTGGTGACATCTACCATGAGGTTGCTCAGAGACCTAGGAATCAGAGGTCAGATCCTGAAGGCAGTATCCAAAGCTATGTCGGAGGCAGCGGAGAGAAGCAGCCAGTGGCTGTGGATGAAGAGGCAGGACTCCTGCTGGGCCCAAGGTAGCAGTCCAGGTTGGCACAGAGGGGTTGTTTCTGGGACGCCATTTTATTTATTTATTTATTTTTTATTAGGTGCTTGCACATAAGGGATTTTCTACATCTTGCCCTGTGTTTCTTAAATCTGTCACTAACTCGCTTGCTTATTGTACTATTAGGACAAGCTTTAAGACAACTTGCAGATGCAGGGCGTGTTGCCTTTCAGGACTAATGGGGTCCATGATACTATGACTTATTTAGACGAAGAAAATGTCATGTTTGCTAAGTTCTTTTACTTTTATTTTTTTTATTGAAATCACCATTCAGGACTATTAACAGTTTGAAATTCCTGCATCCAGATTCAACAAATGCACATGAGAGATGACCATTCATAAACAAAGACCACATTTAAAATAAACAAGGTAAATAATAAAACACAACAAACAAAGGCAAAGCTCTTGACAAACCAAGTAAAAACAAATACAAAAGAAATGCCTCCTGAATCGGGTTTACTTTAGGTATTACAGCTTTATTGTTGGTGATTAAATTAAAAGACACAATACAGTTTTTACATTCACTGATGACTACTGTGAACCGTGGGTGAGACTAGTTGAATTTTGACCTATTAATGTCCCTTTAGAGAGTAGAAAGCGAATAATTAAAGCCATCTTCCTATCTGTTCTGGACTACGGGGATGTAATTTATAGACATGCTTCTGCCTAAAATTATTAGACACAGTTTATCACTCCGCCCTCAGATTTATCACTGGTGACAAATAGTCCACTCATCATTGCATCCTGTACGATAAAGTTGGTTGTCCTTCACTAACAGTTAGACGTGAACGGCATTGGCTGCTATTTACTTATAAATCACTTTCGGGTAATCTACCAGCATACATCACTTCTTTATTAATCTGGGCTGATAATCAGTATCAGACTCGATCAAGTGACTGGCTAATGTTAACGGTTCCACATGTAAAAACTAACTTTGGGAAAACATCCTTCACCTATTGTGCTGCACACACCTGGAACACAATACAAAACACAGACAACTCAATTCAATACATTTAAAAACCTGATCACAGCTCACTGTACTCATGAGTGTAAATGTTATTAACTGTAGTTACCTGCTTACTGCTTATTCTTCTGGTCTTATAATCTATGTATTTTGTCTTAGATGGTTTTTTTTGTCTCTTTTTTCTGTCTCTTATTCGTTTTAATTGTACTCTCGACGTCATTGTAAATGAGGGTTTGCCCTCAATGATTTCTCGAGAATAAATAAAAGTCAAATGAAAATGAAATGAATGTGAAATTTACCAATAAGTATTCAGAGGTGATTTTAGCGTCTGGTTGGTGTGCGTGTCTGTAGTGGTGACGTGTCTCTTAGGTTTCTGCTCCTCCTCTTGCTCCTCCTCCTTGCTCCTCCTCCTTGTCCTTCCTCTTGCTCCTCCTCCTCCCGGCGACTCAATAGTGAGACTGAAGTGTGGTCAGATTTATACATTATAGGAGCAGCGAGGAGTACTGCTTAGACATCATGGGCAGTAAGTATGAATCTGAATGGACATATTCTGTGACATATCTACATATATATTTTTGGGGTGTGTTGAGAGAGAGCTGAAATGTTGTTTTAACTTTTTTATTTTACAACTTAGTTTACGGTGTTAGCGCTGGCATTGAAAGCAAGCTAACTTAGCCTGGTTTGCTAGCTAGCTATATGGCCGTGGGTTTGTACTCTTGTGAGCCTTTCACAATATGACTTTTTTTGTGGAGTTCATTATACATTGAGGGTGGCTTCTTCTTTAGGTTGGTTATCTTGCTCGTAGTGTGATCTTAAACTCAAAATGCGGGTACTCTGGAAGCATATTTTATGCTAACTAGTTAGCCACTCATTCAGAGACACTGACAATCTAGTGATGACGACGCATTACACACCACTGTCATCTCTGGTCTCCACAACCTGAACCTGCTCATAAATGTCAATAACAAACATCTGTAGTCGATTATATAAAGTTATAACGAACCAACCAGCAAAAGTTTTGTGAAATTAGCGTAGCTTTATTTTTTTATCATTTTATTTATGTCTTGAATCCGCCCACTATCCACTGCCACGTCCCACTGCTGATGTCCTGCTATCATCTCAAGTTATTTCACTTACACTTTGATGTTTGCTTGTTTTCAGTCAAATTCTTGGAGGTAATAAAGCCATTCTGTGCAGTGCTGCCAGAAATCCAAAAACCCGAGAGAAAGGTTTGTTTTACTCATTTTTATAGGATCATTGTCTCACTGTGGCGATAAGTTTTTTTTCCTTATAAAACTTTTCTAATTGATTGTCCAACAGATCCAGTTCAGGGAGAAAGTATTATGGACTGCCATCACTCTTTTCATCTTCCTGGTGTGTTGCCAGGTAAGCTTAACCAAGTATTACTGTCAGTATTGTCACATAATCTATTGCTGCAATCAGTTTACATGTTAAATCTGTAAAAATCAATGTGGTTGCCATTTGTAAAACTTTCCAGATTTAAACAACATATATATTATGCATTCTAAATCAATGCATGAACTCACATTATTTATGACAATCTGCTCCTTTGAGCTTTTGTCAATTTAGATTCATGACTGACTTTCAGGTTTTAAAGTCAACCGAAATCTTGTAAACAAAGGGGTTCAAGTGGCTGCAGTGTGAACTAATATTTTATTATGGTTTGTTAACTGATTAATTGTTTCCATTAATAATTTTGACTTCTTTGGAAAAAGTCTAAAATCCACATTGACCACACGTGTTGCTCAAAGTTCTGCATTGAATTTGTTTTTTTCTGTTGCTTTTGCGCCAAGAATTACAGGAAGTATATATTTTACATTTATGTTTCACAAAAGAAGACTATTTCTTTTACAGTGCATTTAATCTGATAAATGCTAATATTGTATAAAGTCAGTACATAATCTCAAACTATGATATGTTTAAGTGAGTATGATCGTGTCAAACTCGCCCTTGGTAGGAACATGCGAGCAGAGCAGAGTCATTGCTCAGGACAGCAAACCACATGAAAGACATTCATGCTCTGCTGAAATAAAAACAAGTGCAAATATATTACGTCAATCCTTAAAGAAAGTATCCTGTGCCTTTCTTTTAGAGAGGTGGGTTTCGAGTTCAGGGCAGGCCGCCTCTCTCCATATGGGGAGAGGGAAACCCTGCAGTACTTCTATTTACACGTGATTTGGTTCTATTATATTTTGAGAGTAGTAAAATCAACACTTGCAAGTTCATAAAAGCTGTTAAAATAAATAATAAAAAATGCCTCACACTGTGAAAATCTTTTCTCTAGATCCCCCTCTTTGGCATAATGTCATCAGACTCTGCGGATCCATTCTACTGGATGAGAGTAATCCTGGCCTCAAACAGAGGTATTTCTTTCTCTAATAATTGAAAAAGAGATTAAATAAAGGGGGCCCTTCCTGCTAGGTTATTCTAACCTGTGTATTGCCCTCCAGGTACCCTGATGGAGCTGGGTATTTCCCTATCGTCACCTCAGGCCTGATAATGCAGCTGCTGGCTGGAGCTAAGAT